GAATAATTTCAGCAGTAAAGTATTTAGGCAAATTCCAATCAATCCAATTATCTTATATAAAAATGTAAATCTTCAGTCATTTTCATCTTTTCAGTTCATTATTAAGCATAATACACATGTAATCTCCTGATCTAACATAACCTTGGCTGTCATCTTGGAGAAGAATTCTGAATGACTGTTAATGCCATTTCACTAATCATCCATTGTAGTTATAAGTGGGAGTTCAAGAGGCCCCACAGAAATTCGCCCTGACAGTCAGATTTATGGTCAGCATTAATCCATTAAGTAAAATCTTAGAAGCAAAGTATCCTATAAAATCAGTGACAGGATAAAATATAACATCTTTTAGAGAGAGAGAACCATTTGGATGCCTGGAATCCTTCCAATGAAAAAGTCTTCAGAATATGATAATGATAAAAATAAATCAGCACTAATTGTATAACTTGTAATAGTTAATTTGAATGTTCTCTGGTTAAGCACATACTTAACACAAAAAAAATTGTGCAGAACATACTTTAGGTTATTTAAATCAGTTATGCCTTTTTAATTGGCTTGATTTGTGCTTTTGTCATTTTATGGTTATATGTTGTGCCAAAGTTTCACCTCACCACAATATTGAGATCTTCGGGTAAGCATGCCAAAAATAGGAATAAGTCTAGAATATAAAAATAATTATTTATATCTAATGCTGAAAAAAGTCTTGTAGCATAGAACACAACAACCTTGTTTCTAGGCTAGAACATTTTCAAGTCCCACTCCAATACCTGAGGTCAAGAAAGGTACATTCCAAATAGGTTGACTATCAATCTGCAAGTCTTTCAAACAAATACTAGTGGCAGACAATAAGAGCAGGTGAGATACATGTTCAGATCCGTCCTATGGAAAAAATAATTGGAGCATCAGCGCTGGGTCCACTGCTGTTTGTTATTTATATAAATGATTTGGATGTGAATATAGGAGGAATGTTTAGTAAGTTGCAGATGACATCAAAATTTGTGGTATAGTGGACAGAGAAGAAAATTATCTCAGAGTACAACAGGATGTTGATCGGGTGGACCAGTGGGCTGAGGAATGCCAGATGGCATTTAATTTAGAGGTGTTGCATTTTGGTCAGGCAAATCAGGGCAGGATTTATACAGTCAATGATCGGGCCCTGGGGAGTGTTGCTCAACAAAGCGACCTATACGTGCAGGTGGTTAGTTCCTCGAAAGAGGAGTCACAGGTATACAGGGTGGTGAAGAAGGTGTTTAGCATGCTTGCCTTCATTGGTCAGTGCATTGAGTATAGGAGTTTGTATGTCATGTTGGGACTGTACAGGACAATGGTGAGGTCACTTTTAGATTGATGTGTTCAATTCTGGTCCCCCTGCTATAGGAAAGATGTTGTTAAACTTCAAATGGTTCAGAAAAGATTTACAAGGATCTTGCCAGGACTGGAGGTTTTGAGCTATAGGGAGAGGTTGAATAGGCTGGGTCTCTTTTCCCTAGAGCGTCAGAGGCGACCTTAATAGAAGTTTGTAAAATCATGAGGCGCATGGTTAGGGTGAATAGTCAAAGTCTTTTCCGCAGGATAGAAGAGACCAAAACTAGAGGGCATAAATTTTAAGGTGAAAGTGGAAATATTTAAAAGGGACCTGAGGGGCACCTTTTTCATGCATAGCGTGGTGCATGTATGGAATGAGCTGCCAGTGGACGTGGCGGAGGCAGGTACAATTATGACATTTCAAAGGCATCTGGATGGGTACATGAACAGTTTGGGTTTAGAGGGATATGTGCCAAATGCTGGCAAATGGGACTAGATTAATTTAGGATATCTGGTTGGCATGGATGAGTTGGACCGAAGGCTCTGTTTCTGTGCTGTATAACTCTAGGATTCTATCTACCATTACTACCCATAGCTCTGGATTATATTGTGCTTATAAAAGTACATGTTACAACCACAAGTAGAACTCCTTGGGAGAGTAGTTGTCTGGACGTTTGATATATATCACATGTTTGTTTTACTTGTTCATAGGATGTGGGCAATGCAGACTGGGCCAGCATTTATTGCTTGTCTCCAGTTGCCCTTCAGAAGGTTGTGGTGAGCCATTTCCATGAACTGCCTTTGCCTATGTGATATACATGCACTCACACAGTATTGTTAGGAAGGGAGCTTCAGGATTTTGACCCAGGGACAGTGTCTTGGATCGCAGTCATTGAACTCCAAGGGGTAATGATTAGATTCTGTCTTGTTGGAGATGGTCACTTACTGGCAATGTTAATGTTATTTGCTACTTAAGGCCCAAATGACAACAAATTGGTGCCAACACTATGAGGACTATGCTATCTTCTGATGCCCCATACCTACCTCATTTACTGTCACACTCTTCTGTTCTAGACAACAAACCAAATCTGAAATAGCTACTTGAAGAGCTGTGACTGCCTTTTGAAGCAAAATGTTTAGTTAACATTCCCCTTCCTGAATGCAAAGTTTGGGTTTCAGCTCATCAACTCTGAGCCAAAGTACCTTAAGCTACAAGTTCTTACCACAGATGGTAGTTACTGTGGATCATCAGTATCACCAAGCTCCCACAAGCTACAGCTGCATATGCCCTTCCATCCTTACTGTGTTTTAAGTTAAGAGTTTAGAAATAACACATATCTGTTAAAGCAAGTAGAATGAATTATATCAGAGATAGTAGGAACTGCAGATGCTGGAGAATCTGAGATAACACGGTGTAGAGCTGGATGAACACAGCAGGCCAAGCAGCATCATAGGAGCAGGAAGGCTGACGTTTCGGGCATAGTTACAGGACAGGGCTTTTGGTCTGCTATAGCTGTGCTGGTCCTTTGAAAGAGCAATTCATCTAGTGCCACTTTGCTGCCTTTCACCAAAATCCTGCAAATCTTTCCTTTTTGAATAATAATCGCTTTAGAAAGCCTCAATTGACCCTGCCTCCACCACACCCTCAGCAGTGCATTCCAACTATTCTAACTGTTCCCTGCATAAAAGAGTTTGCATCTTTTATGCATCTTTTGCCAATTACCTTTTAATCTATGTCCTCTGGTCTTGACCCTTTCACCAATGGGAACAGTTTCTCCCTTTGTGCTCTGTTGAGCCCTTTAATGTTTTTGAATATCTTTTGCAAATCTCCTCTTGTTCTTCGCTTCAAGGAGCACAGTCACAACTTCCCCAAACTATTTATGGAACTGAAATTCCTCATGCCTGGAATCTTGTGAATTATTTTGGTACCCTTGCTGAAATGCGGTGCAGAGAACTGAATGCAATGAGGCCGAACTAGAGTTTTATTCAGCTTTAACATGACTTCCTTGTTTCTGTGCCAAGTTGCTATTTGCTTTATCAACCCATATCTGGATCTCTCCTGCCACATTCATTGACTTGTTCACATACATACCAGGTCCCTTTGGTTTTGCAACCATTTTAGAATTGATCATTTTCCTCTTCATCTCCATCCCCCTGTACAGCTGAGTCAACTATGATGCCATAGACTTGGCTCTGCTGCATTCCCTGGAAAAATATTGCCTCCACCAGCATTCAAAGTGGAAAATCAATTAGCAAGACCGACTTGGGGGATTTCTGCACTGCCTGCCCAGTTCTCTTGCGTTGCTTGCTGATCACTCATTCAGTCTCTGACTGTGCATTCTCAACCTGCAATTTTACTTTTTTTTTATTATTATATAGTTTTTGAAAGGTTCTTTTTCTTCATGGATATTCTCATGCAGAATAGATTTCCATCTGTAATGTTATTGGAACTACAAATGTATTGACGTTGTCCTGAGAAAGTTTTAATCAGTGCTATTGTAGCATAGCACTCAACTGTATAATTTCTCTGATGTAGCATGCTTCTGACTACCATTCCCAGTCATTTAACAACTCTTTCACCTTTGAGGCAGGAAGCGATGAGTTCAAGGTTTTGACATTCATCGCTCCCCAAAAGAGGCAGGAGAGGGTCAGGTTAGAAATGTAAAAGTTGGGAATGTAGCCCCTACCACACCTACCTGTACTATTTATAGCAGTGCCCTGCTTGCTCAGCAGCACTTCATAAACACATGTAAATCAGACTCCCAGCATGTGAATCGGGTTTTGAATTTAAGTTTAACAATTATTGATGGGGATTCCAAGGGTTGGGAAACCCCAAAGTTGAAATGAGGTGGGAGATGCCAATTTAAGAAGGCAAGTTTTTATTCTGGCTCCCTTTATGAGTTAGGAGGAGCAGGAACATTCTGAGACCTCCTCAGTTGATTGTGTCCTTCTGTCTCATGATAGTTTGATCTGTTGCTTCCTTCCTCCCAATTTCTGAGGATTTCCACAAGTGTCCAAGGCTATGGTATCCTGCTCCTTTACTCCCCTACACATTGCACATCTCCTGGGAAATATCAGGCCCCAAATCTAGTTGCAGAACTTGAGCATATAATCTAGGCTGATACTTTGGTGGCACGGTGGCTCAGTGGTTAGCACCACTACATCACAGTGCCAGGGACCTGGTTTTATTTCCAGCCTTGGGTGACTGTCTGTATGGAGTTTGCACATTTTTCCTGTGTCTTTGTGAGTTTCCTCCTACAATCCAAAGATGTGCAGGCTAAGTGGATTAGCTTTGGGAAATGTAGGGTTACAGGAATAAGGTAGGCGGGTGGGATCCCTTTGGAGGATCGGTGTGGACTGGATGGGCTGAATGACCAGCTTCCACACTGAAGGGATTCTATGATTCAGTAGGGTATTGAGAGTGTTGCTTTGAATATTGCAGTAAAAACAACAGAATAACAAAAATACCCTTAAATAAAGAGATAATTAAGTGGTCATGAAGTACTTTGGGATCTTGAGTCTCAAAGGTGCTCTACAAATGAGGATCTTTCTTCATGGAACTTTCACACACATATTCCTATCAAATAGGCCTTGGATTATTTCCATATCAGAGATGATATAATATTTTATCTGTGATTTATGATGCATATTTGGTAAACTAGATCAAACAAACCTAAAATCTTTTTCCTCTTTCAAAGATGGTCTACCTCGTCCTGTTATTCTTTGGGATGATTCCTTGTCAATCACCAGTAATGATACCCAGTCGACAGTCAAATTGAATTGGACGTCTTATCAACAATCACTAAAATGGAAGTGTTGGGTTCATGGCAAAGTACCTAAGCCAGACTGGAATTGTACTGATATTCATCACTATGAATGGTGCAAACTAGCTCTTTTTGATTTTTTGCTGCAGGTAAGGAACAATTTGACATTGTTTCTAATTGTTGACATATTTCTAATTTCATGCATGCCTCTTCCAAAATAGACAAAAAATAATTTTAAGAAGTTCGTATCTGTTGGTGATACTTCCTCTGAGGCATCTATTTCTTATACATATAAATTGATACTTTGTTAAATCTGTATCTTGTAAATATTTTACTGTACAAAATGTAGAATATTAATGACAATTGAAGAGGTTAGTTTCTTGAGTCCTTAGATTTTGCAGTGGGTTCTTCCCGTCTTGTGCTGTAACTGTGATGGAACGTCAATTGGTCTGCAAGAAAAGAAGTTATTTTTAAACAGTAATGATGCTTTTCTAGGAGTTGTGTAAGGTTTTTTGGACCAATGCAATTGAGTGAAAATTTCCTTCTGCACTAAATGTAACAAATCATAAAAGTCTGCAAGAGTTGTCCTATGAACTTCAACAACAATTCATTATAACTTCAATGGGAGAGCAAATAAAACTTAGAGAAACAGGCATTGACCATTTCTCTGGGGTTCTGCCAAAGTTATAGCAGATGATCGGGGAACCTCTGTGGAAAGCTATTCCTGTGTGCACATTTATAGCAGCGTCAATGAAAGTGCCCTCTCAACGCGACTTAATTCTTAGTTAAATATATCTTTTCTCCAATTTCTCTGAACAAAATGGCAAATGTTTTGCCATTGTAAGCCACAATCATCAGGAATAGGGATCAATGTTTCTAAGAATATTTTGGATCTTTACAATGAAGAGGGAAAAACTTGAAACCATTAATCTAGGTGGATACAAAATTTGGTCCTGTTGGCATAAATGGCTGTGGATTGACTTACTAGGCCACTGAATGTAACAAAATATGTTGTTTTCAAAGAGAGTCTCACTCACGGCTTGAGAACTAGCTGGTGCTCCATTGAGCCTCCATTGTGAAGGCCTGCTGGTACTAAATATTTAAGTGGCCAGTATCAGGTATTCCTCAGGATGCAGGATCATAGGTTGTGAAAATTGCCCTGAACCTCTTCTGGCTAATCAGAAACTGGCAGTTCTCTATTGCCATCAGCATTACTGGAAGAGATAGCAGCTGCAAGCAATGCACTCACCAGAGACCCAGGATTAATGCCGATTAATCAGGAAATTGCAAGCCAGTCGGTTTAACATCTGTCATAGGGAAAATGTTAGAAACTATTATTAAAGACATTATAACAAGGCACTTGGATATAGTCGAGATAATCAGGTAGACCCAACATGGTTTAGTCAAAGGGGAAATCATGTTTAAATATTTTATTGGAGTTCATTGAAGAAGTAACTTGTTCTGTAGATAAAGGGGAACTGGTGGATGTATTGTATTTAGATTTCCGGAAGATATTTAATAATGTGCTACATCAAAGGTTATTGTGAAAAATAAAAGCTCATGGTGTAGGGGGTAACATGTTGGCATGGATAGAAGATTGGCTTGTTAACAGGAAGGAGCCAGTAGGAATAAGTGGATCTTTTTCAGGCTGGCCGATTATCACATGTATTATACTGTAATATACCAACTCTTTTTAGAATTCATATAAATAATTTAGATGAAGGGATCAAAGGTTACTTCACTAAATTTGTTGATGACACAAAAAAGATAGGAAAGTGAGTTGTGAAGAGGATGTAAGGAGCCTACAAAGGAATATAGATAGTTTTAGTGGGTGAGCAAAGATCTGGCAAATGGAGTACAATGTGGGAAAGTGTAAAATTGTCCACTTTGGCAGAAGGAATACAACAGAAGTACATTATCAATCTAGTGAGAGATTGCAGAGCTCTGAGATGCAGAGAAATCTGGGTGTCCTAGTGAATTAAGCGCGGAAGGTTAATATGCAGGTACAGCAAGTAATCAGGAAAGCTAATAGAATGTTATGCTCTAAATAAAACAAAGAACTATGGATGCTAGAGATCTGAATAAACCAAAACAGAAATTGTTGCAGAAACTGAACAGTTCTGGCAGTATCTGTGAAGAGAAAGAAGAGTTAACATTTCGAGCCCAATGACCCTCCTTCAAAACTGGTTTTGGTTTATTTGCGAGGGAAATTGAATGCAAGAGTAAGGAGGTTATGCTTCAGTTATACAGGGCATTGGTGAGACTGCTTCTGGAGTGCTGTTTACGGTATTGGTCACTATACATATGGAAGGATGTGAAAGCACTGGAAGCAGTTCAGAGAAGGTTTACTAAACAAATACTTAGAATGAGTGGATTGCCTTATAAGGAAAGGCAAGAGAGGTCAAGCCTGTATCCTCTGTAGTTTAGAGTCAGAGGTGACTTAATTGAACAATATAAGATCCTGAGAGGGCTTGACTGGATGGATGTTGAAACAATGTTTCCTGTTGTGGGGGAACCTAGAACTAGGGGTCATGGTTAAAAATAAGTGGGTGTCTATTTAACAGTCAAGAGTTTTTGAATTCTCTTCCACTAAAGGCAGTAGGTGTAGAATCTTGGAATACTTTTCAGGCAGAGGTAGATAGATTCTTGATTGCCAAGGGAATAAAAGATAATCAGTAATATGCAGGAATGTAGAGTTGAGGTTAAAATCAGATCAGCCAGGATCTTATTGAAATTGATTGAATGGTCGAGCAGGCTGAAAGGACTGAGTAGCCTAGTCTTGTGCCTTACTTGTGTGTTCTCAACCGTCCCTACCAACTTTGTAGATTTATGTGCATATATCCCCAGATCTCTGATCCTGCATCCACTTGAGAATTGGGCTGCTTGCTTTATATTGTTTTCTTCTTCCTTCCTATCAAAATGTATCATTTCACACTTCACTGTCAACAATTTCATCTACCTCTGGTCTGCCAACTATTTTTCTTGAACAAGCATAACTTTTTTCAAATCCCTACATTCCACACTGATTTGGTATATATCTTAATGATATGTGAATGGTAACCCTTACCATTAGCAGACAATGCTATAACAAAAATAGCAACGCAAGAGTTTGGGCTTGAGAGCTCTCGTGATGCAGTGGTACTGCTCCTATGTCCCAGAAGATCTGAGTTCAAGTCCTGCCTGCCACAAAGTTGAGTCATAACATGTCCAAACAGGTTGATGAAAAATATTTAAAGAGGGTAGTCTCAAGGTTTCCTACAGGTTGAGTTCCTGTTTATGCATTCCCATTTGAGAAAGCCGTGGGGTTAGTCTGGACATCAGGTGATAACATAAAATAGACTATATGTATATTCAGTCCTCCATTACATACTGTACCTAATTTCTAATTCTGTAGAGTTCAGATCTGATTTGGTTAGCCATTATATATTGTCCAATTCACATAGTATAATTCTACCTGACAGTAGTGAACTCCCTCACTATTAGGATCAAAGACCAGATAAATCTGAGCACCTAACAGTTGGCTCAGCAACACAATTAGAGACCCAATGAGCTAGTATATTAGTCTTTCATCTTTCAAACTGAAATCTCAATTTTAATCACAGCTCAGTGTTCAGAGGTGAGTTATCACATCAGTTCAAAACTTGTCCATTTCAACAATGATGTGGACTGGGACATTTTAACTCCGAGCTTTATTTAAATACTGCCCCCCTCACTTCTTACCCATTTTGGTTAGCAGTAACATTTGTATAGACAAGGGCTAGTTCCTCACACCAGTTAAGTAGCCATATCAGTTACTGGGATGCCCTGTGTGGGTCCATGTGATTGGGTAGGGGTGCATCGTAGATCCTGGCAGGAAGAGGCTTGAGATTTTCTGAGATTTCAATCGTGTTCCTGTGTGGCTCAGGGGAACCGTCTCTTTCTCTGGCCTCATAAGGAATATAAAAATAATTTGTTTTTGATCTTTTTCTGGCTTTGATCTCCAACTTCACCGCGTTAGCTTGGCAGCAAGCCCACTTCACTTTCTGCTCCATCTTCTGGTAAAAATTGCAGTTTGGTCCTAATTGCATCTGAATATCTTAATGTTAAAGGGCCCCAAACTAGCTTTAATCATTTGTCCTTGACTTGGCTTTGTGGAACAGGTTAAAATATGACAGATTTTTCCAGGGCAGGTAAGTTATCTGGCTGATTTTAACTGTTCACCTGCCTGGAACAGGTAGGTTAAAATCATCCCAAGACATGTAATGTTACTGGACCAGTAATCTGGAGGCCAAAGGTGTAAGGGTCCGAAAGGGTGAACATTGAGGATGTTTGAAGCATCATCGATTGTGAAGGGACCTGTTAACGGAACAGCTTAGAACCTTGATGTAGAACTTGACATCCAGGTAATTCTCATAAACTCTATAACAATATCTATCATATAACTGTTACCTATAACTAGTTGCTAAAATAAAATTCTTGTTCAATACAGGAGCCTACTTCTTGTTAGACCAGAGATAGTAGGAACTGCAGATGCTGGAGAATCTGAGATTACAAGGTATAGAGCTGGATGAACACAGCAGGCCAAGCAGCATCAGAGGAGCAGGAAGGCTGATGTTTCGGGCCTAGACCCTTCTTCAGAAATGGGGGAGGGGAAGGGGGTTCTGAAATAAATAGGGAAGGAGGGGGAGGCGGATAGAAGATGGGTAGAGGAGAAGATAGTTGGAGAGGAGACAGACCGGTCAAAGAGGCGGGGATGGAGCCAGTAAAGGTGAGTGTAGGTGGGGAGGTAGGGTGGAGATAGGTCAGTCCAGGGAGGACAGACAGGTCAAGGGGGCGGGATGAGGTTAGTAGGTAGGAGATGGGGGTGGGGCTTGAGGTGGGAGGAGGGGATAGGTGGGAGGAAAGACAGGTTAGGGAGGCGGGGACGAGCTGGGCTGGTTTTGGGATGCGGTAGGGGGAGGGGAGATTTTGAAGCTTGTGAAGTCCACATTGATACCATTGGGCTGCAGGGTTCCCAAGCGGAATATGAGTTGCTGTTCCTGCAACCTTTGGGTAGCATCGTTGTGGCACTGCAGGAGGCCCAGAATGGACATGTCGTCTGCGGAATGGGAGGGGGAGTTGAAATGGTTCGCGACTGGGAGGTGCAGTTGTTTAGTGCAAACTGAGTGTA